TTGCTGTGTTGAGGAAGGTGTTGCTGTGTTGAGGAAGGTGTTGCTGTGTTGAGGAAGGTGTTGCTGTGTTGAGGAAGGTGTTGCTGTGTTGAGGAAGGTGTTGCTGTGTTGAGGAAGGTGTTGCTGTGTTGAGGAAGGTGTTGCTGTGTTGAGGAAGGTGTTGCTGTGTTGAGGAATGGTGTTGCTGTGTTGAGGAAGGTGTTGCTGTGTTGAGGAAGGTGTTGCTGTGTTGAGGAAGGTGTTGCTGTGTTGAGGAAGGTGTTGCTGTGTTGAGGAAGGTGTTGCTGTGTTGAGGAAGGTGTTGCTGTGTTGAGGAAGGTGTTGCTGTGTTGAGGAAGGTGTTGCTGTGTTGAGGAAGGTGTTGCTGTGTTGAGGAAGGTGTTGCTGTGTTGAGGATGGTGTTGCTGTGTTGAGGAAGGTGTTGCCGTGTTGAGGAAGGTGTTGCTGTGTTGAGGAAGGTGTTGCTGTGTTGAGGAAGGTGTTGCTGTGTTGAGGAAGGTGTTGCTGTGTTGAGGATGGTGTTGCTGTGTTGAGGAAGGTGTTGCTGTGTTGAGGAAGGTGTTGCTGTGTTGAGGAAGGTGTTGCTGTGTTGAGGAAGGTGTTGCTGTGTTGAGGATGGTGTTGCTGTGTTGAGGATGGTGTTGCTGTGTTGAGGAAGGTGTTGCTGTGTTGAGTATGGTGTTGCTGTGTTGAGGAAGGTGTTGCTGTGTTGAGGAAGGTGTTGCTGTGTTGAGGATGGTGTTGCTGTGTTGAGGATGGTGTTGCTGTGTTGAGGAAGGTGTTGCTGTGTTGAGGATGGTGTTGCTGTGTTGAGGATGGTGTTGCTGTGTTGAGGAAGGTGTTGCTGTGTTGAGGAAGGTGTTGCTGTGTTGAGGAAGGTGTTGCTGTGTTGAGGAAGGTGTTGCTGTGTTGAGGAAGGTGTTGCTGTGTTGAGGAAGGTGTTGCTGTGTTGAGGAAGGTGTTGCTGTGTTGAGGAAGGTGTTGCTGTGTTGAGGATGGTGTTGCTGTGTTGAGGAAGGTGTTGCTGTGTTGAGGAAGGTGTTGCTGTGTTGAGGAAGGTGTTGCTGTGTTGAGGAAGGTGTTGCTGTGTTGTGGAAGGTGTTGCTGTGTTGAGGAAGGTGTTGCTGTGTTGAGGAAGGTGTTGCTGTGTTGAGGAAGGTGTTGCTGTGTTGAGGAAGGTGTTGCTGTGTTGAGGATGGTGTTGCTGTGTTGAGGAAGGTGTTGCTGTGTTGAGGAAGGTGTTGCTGTGTTGAGGAAGGTGTTGCTGTGTTGAGGAAGGTGTTGCTGTGTTGAGGATGGTGTTGCTGTGTTGAGGAAGGTGTTGCTGTGTTGAGGAAGGTGTTGCTGTGTTGAGGAAGGTGTTGCTGTGTTGAGGAAGGTGTTGCTGTGTTGAGGAAGGTGTTGCTGTGTTGAGGAAGGTGTTGCTGTGTTGAGGATGGTGTTGCTGTGTTGAGGAAGGTGTTGCTGTGTTGAGGAAGGTGTTGCTGTGTTGAGGAAGGTGTTGCTGTGTTGAGGAAGGTGTTGCTGTGTTGAGGAAGGTGTTGCTGTGTTGAGGATGGTGTTGCTGTGTTGAGGAAGGTGTTGCTGTGTTGAGGAAGGTGTTGCTGTGTTGAGGAAGGTGTTGCTGTGTTGAGGAAGGTGTTGCTGTGTTGAGGAAGGTGTTGCTGTGTTGAGGAAGGTGTTGCTGTGTTGAGGAAGGTGTTGCTGTGTTGAGGATGGTGTTGCTGTGTTGAGGAAGGTGTTGCTGTGTTGAGGAAGGTGTTGCTGTGTTGTGGAAGGTTGCTGTGTTGAGGAAGGTGTTGCTGTGTTGAGGAAGGTGTTGCTGTGTTGAGGAAGGTGTTGCTGTGTTGAGGAAGGTGTTGCTGTGTTGAGGAGGTGTTGCTGTGTTGAGGATGGTGTTGCTGTGTTGAGGAAGGTGTTGCTGTGTTGAGGAAGGTGTTGCTGTGTTGAGGAAGGTGTTGCTGTGTTGAGGAAGGTGTTGCTGTGTTGAGGATGGTGTTGCTGTGTTGAGGAAGGTGTTGCTGTGTTGAGGAAGGTGTTGCTGTGTTGAGGAAGGTGTTGCTGTGTTGAGGAAGGTGTTGCTGTGTTGAGGAAGGTGTTGCTGTGTTGAGGAAGGTGTTGCTGTGTTGAGGATGGTGTTGCTGTGTTGAGGAAGGTGTTGCCTGTGTTGAGGAAGGTGTTGCTGTGTTGAGGAAGGTGTTGCTGTGTTGAGGAAGGTGTTGCTGTGTTGAGGAAGGTGTTGCTGTGTTGAGGATGGTGTTGCTGTGTTGAGGAAGGTGTTGCTGTGTTGAGGAAGGTGTTGCTGTGTTTGAGGAAGGTGTTGCTGTGTTGAGGAGGGTGTTGCTGTGTTGAGGAAGGTGTTGCTGTGTTGAGGAAGGTGTTGCTGTGTTGAGGAAGGTGTTGCTGTGTTGAGGAAGGTGTTGCTGTGTTGAGGAAGGTGTTGCTGTGTTGAGGAAGGTGTTGCTGTGTTGAGGAAGGTGTTGCTGTGTTGAGGAAGGTGTTGCTGTGTTGAGGAAGGTGTTGCTGTGTTGAGTATGGTGTTGCTGTGTTGAGGAAGGTGTTGCTGTGTTGAGGAAGGTGTTGCTGTGTTGAGGAAGGTGTTGCTGTGTTGAGGAAGGTGTTGCTGTGTTGAGGAAGGTGTTGCTGTGTTGAGTATGGTGTTGCTGTGTTGAGGAAGGTGTTGCTGTGTTGAGGATGGTGTTGCTGTGTTGAGGATGGTGTTGCTGTGTTGAGGAAGGTGTTGCTGTGTTGAGGAAGGTGTTGCTGTGTTGAGGAAGGTGTTGCTGTGTTGAGGAAGGTGTTGCTGTGTTGAGGAAGGTGTTGCTGTGTTGAGTATGGTGTTGCTGTGTTGAGGAAGGTGTTGCTGTGTTGAGGAAGGTGTTGCTGTGTTGAGGAAGGTGTTGCTGTGTTGAGGAAGGTGTTGCTGTGTTGAGGATGGTGTTGCTGTGTTGAGGAAGGTGTTGCCGTGTTGATGAAGGTGTTGCTGTGTTGAGGAAGGTGTTGCTGTGTTGAGGAAGGTGTTGCTGTGTTGAGGAAGGTGTTGCTGTGTTGAGGATGGTGTTGCTGTGTTGAGGAAGGTGTTGCTGTGTTGAGGAAGGTGTTGCTGTGTTGAGGAAGGTGTTGCTGTGTTGAGGAAGGTGTTGCTGTGTTGAGGAAGGTGTTGCTGTGTTGAGGAAGGTGTTGCTGTGTTGAGGAAGGTGTTGCTGTGTTGAGGAAGGTGTTGCTGTGTTGAGGAAGGTGTTGCTGTGTTGAGGAAGGTGTTGCTGTGTTGAGGAAGGTGTTGCTGTGTTGAGGAAGGTGTTGCTGTGTTGAGGAAGGTGTTGCTGTGTTGAGGAAGGTGTTGCTGTGTTGAGGAAGGTGTTGCTGTGTTGAGGAAGGTGTTGCTGTGTTGAGGAAGGTGTTGCTGTGTTGAGGAAGGTGTTGCTGTGTTGAGGAAGGTGTTGCTGTGTTGAGGAAGGTGTTGCTGTGTTGAGGAAGGTGTTGCTGTGTTGAGGAAGGTGTTGCTGTGTTGAGGAAGGTGTTGCTGTGTTGAGGAAGGGTGTTGCTGTGTTGAGGAAGGTGTTGCTGTGTTGAGGAAGGTGTTGCTGTGTTGAGGAAGGTGTTGCTGTGTTGAGGAAGGTGTTGCTGTGTTGAGGAAGGTGTTGCTGTGTTGAGGAAGGTGTTGCTGTGTTGAGGAAGGTGTTGCTGTGTTGAGGAAGGTGTTGCTGTGTTGAGGAAGGTGTTGCTGTGTTGAGGAAGGTGTTGCAGCACGAGGATTGAGCAGGGTGTGGCCGGTGTTGGAGGAGCTGCATGATGCGACAGTGGAGATGCGGGGGAGTGAGGAGAGGGGGAGAGGGGGAGGGGGGAGGGTGGATGGGTGCGAGGTACTGTGCGGATGGATCATGGGTGTTTTGTTGCGCACGCAACCAGGATGGAGAAGAATAGATGGACCAGCGCGGTGTCACATTGCGCTGGTCCTCTCTGGTTGCGACAGATTCTGTGTGATTGTATCAGCTGATAATGTGACTCCCTTAATGGAGCAGTCCATCTATTCTTCTCCATCCTGCTTTCCACTTGTTTGATCCTCTCTCCCTCAACTCCGTCGCTTCCCTCTTCATCACCCCACATCTGTACTCGCCTAATGTGCACCCTCCGTGCTTTCTTTGTGTCCTCGCCACGTGCCACGCGACAGTGATTACTCCCCGTCGCCCTTCCCCCACCGCCCTCCCCCCATTGCTCTCCCCGCTATCGCACCCCCCCTATCGTCTTCCCTCCCTACCATCACCTTCCCCCCATCGCTCTCCCCCAATCACCCTTCGCCCAGTTGCCCTCCCCCCATGCCCCGTCCATCCATGCCTTCCCCCCCTCCACCAGGTGCCGTACATAGCGATCCACAAGAAGGCCATCTGCCCGGCCTGGCCCTCGTGGACACTTATTGAGTCGACTCGAATTCTCATGTCTCTCCATGCCGCATGCCTCCCCCCGCACACCAGGTGCCGTACATAGCGATGCACAAGAAGGCCGCCTGCCCCGCCCTCGTGGACCCCCTGTTGAGCCGACTCTCAACTCACCTCCCGGCATGTCCCTCCCCTCCCCACGGCTGCCCTTCCCTTCCTCACGGCTGCCCTCCCCTCCCCTCCCCTCCCCTCCCCTCCCCTCCCCTCCCCTCCCCTCCCCTCCCCTCCCCTTCCCCCCCCCCACCAGGTGCCGTACATAGCGATGCACAGGAAGGCCATCTGCCCGGCCCTCGTGGAGACTGACAAGCTCGACGAGCAGCCGCAGCTGCAGCCCTCCCCCTCGCCCCATCGCCCTTCCCCCCATCGCCCTTCCCCCCATCGCCCTTCCCCCCATCGCCCTCCCCAAATCACCCCACGCCCAATCGCCCTCGCCCCATGGCCCTTTCTTTCCCCCCATGCCCCTCCTTCATGGCCGTCCCCTTCCCCCCTGGCCCTCTTCCCATACCCCCCCTCCCCATGGCTGGCCCCCTCTGCATGGCTGCCCCACCCACTGCCCACCACCAGGTGCCGTACATAGCGATACACAAGAAGGCCATCTGCCCCGCTCTCGTGGAGCAAGACAAGCTCGACGGGGAGCCGCAGCTGCAGCCCTTCCAGGTGTGTCCCTTGGATCCGCGCTCGTTGCTGCAGGTGAGTCTTGGGTAGCAGGCCCACCTGCATATAATCTGGAGTAGCAGGCCCACCTGCATTGCACTTCTTCAGGACTCCTCCCCTTGCATGCTCGCTCGCTCTCCCTCCCTACCTCTCCATTCCTTCGCTTCCACAAACCCCCCATTCCACCCTCCCTATCAACCTCCTCCCTCCTTCCTTCATTCCTTCCTTCCTTCCTTCCTTCCTTCCTTCCTTCCTTCCTTCCTTCCTTCCTTCCTTCCTTCCTTCCTTCCTTCCTTCCTTCCTTCCTTCCTTCCTTCCTTCCTCCTTCCTTCCTTCCTTCCTTCCTTCCTTCCTTCCTTCCTTCCTTCCTTCCTTCCTTCCTTCCTTCCTTCCTTCCTTCCTTCCTTCCTTCCTTCCTTCCTTCCTTTCTTCCTTCCTTCTTCCCCATTGGCCCCTCCCTTTTTCTCCCCACACAACCGACCCCTCCACCACCACCCCCCTTTCTCCCTCCTCCAACTCAGGCCCTGTAAATCATCCAGCAGTGGGATAGCCGCGGGCTGCGGCTGCATGCTTAAACACCCCCATTTCCTACCACCCTCCCTCGCTACCCCCTCCCTGCCCCCACTCTCCGTTTACATCCTTCCCAATCAGGCTCTTTGGGCCATCCAGCAGTGGGATCGCCGCTGGCTGCTCCTCCAACGCCGCAAGCGCTCCCTGCGATCCGCCTACGAGCGGCCGCGAGTGGACGAGGATGAAGAAGCAGAGCGGCAGCTCGCCATGCAAGGGGTTCTCCACGCGCTCGACTGTGCGCTCTCGGAGCCCGCCGTTGAGGACGTGGACGCCAAGTTCAACCTGCAGTTTCCGCCGGAAGAGGCGGTGGCGGAGGAGGGCGGGAGAGGAGGGGCAGGTGGGGGGCAGCAGAGGCGGCCTCGGAAGCGGTCGATGTACTCAGTGTGCCGGCGCGCGGGGCTTAAAGGCGTGGTGAAGCGCATTGGGCTGTCGGCGTTCCAGCTGGGGGAGAACCTGATCTCCATGTATAAGGTGCGTGGGAGGATGGTGGGATGGGTGGGGTGTGAGAGGTGTGAGGGGTATTGGGATCCCCTCCTCAAATTGCCGCCTCCTGATCGCCTCATGGGCTGGCACAGTCAGGTTTCTTCAACCCGCCTCCCCACCTCCTTCTTTCACCACTCCACATCCAATACCTGTGGTCTGCATGTGTGCTTGTCTATGTGGCTGTATATGCGTGTGTGTGTGCGTGCGCATGTGTAATGGCAGCAACACGAGGTGGAGGACACGGCGCTATCACCGGAGGAGGTGGCAACGGAGTACATATGTGCCGAGTTCCCCTCGCCTGCCCTCGTGCTCAGAGGTGCCCGCCACATGGTGCGTGCGGGTTGGCTGGTCTTCTGGTGACCTTGCCTCGTACACTTTGCAAAAGGTTGCAGGATTCGAAGCGCAGGAAGCAAAGGGTATCCTCCAACTCTTGCATGCTGTATATTGCTGCCAGGCCGCATGCATCCTGTTGCCTTTGTGGTACACGATGGTGGACTGCATATTCAGCCATCGTTGATCCTGCAGTGTGGAAGGTGGAATGGAGGGTGTTTTGCTTTACGTTCTACGCTGTGGTTTGTGGTCACCCCTTGTGTGGCTGTGAATCTGTGATGTGTGTCACACGGCTTGTACATCCGTGCTTGGCTGACATGGTGTTGGAGTGTGCGGAGGTGGAGATAAGCATCGAGCCAGCCAGGCCAGGGTGCACGAGCACCTGAGGGAGATGGTGTGATGATGCTCATAAGTGACTCCAATGTTTGTGTGCGCATGGCAGGCGGAGGTGGAGATAAGCATAGAGCCCAAGGTGCGGGAGCACGTGAGGGAGATTTTCAACAAGCGCGCCATCGTCTCCACCAACCCCACTCCACGCGGCCGCCAGGTACCCCCCACCCCACCTCCTCGCACACACCTGGTCGCCAGGGAACGTTCCTGGGTGGATTTCAGGGTGCACGAGCACCTGAGTTGGACATAAGCATCGAGCTCATGGCTTTGTGGCTGCCAGGGAACGTTCCTGGGTGGATATCGTGGAACCAAGCACCCTGAAATCCCTTGAGCCAACCCTTCAATGCTGGGGTAACGTATGTCATTAGGGTAGAAGCCTCGTGTTATTTGATACCCATTCTGTTTAGTCTGTCAACGCCTTCTGACTCCCACACTCAGCCCGTGCCCATCTCCTTTTCATGTCCCTCCCTCAGCCCCTCTGTCTGTCACTGTCTCTTTGTCCCACTCTTTCTTCGTGTCTCTGTCCCGGTGTCCTTCAGCCTCTTCTGTCTCTCAGTTCCACATCTCCTTGCAGCACTTGGCTCTCCTTGCTCCGCTCCTCGCTCCGCTCCTCGCCCACCAATACCTGACCATCCCGTTGGAATTCAACCCCTACCCTACACCCCTTCCTTCCCACCTCCTCGCACCTTCTCCCGTCCACCTCTTGCCCAGCTCCCACCCGTGTGCAACAGAATAGAATCGACACGTTGCACCAATTTACAGGCATTTTTTCGGTGCGCCTCAAAATCCTCCCGCCGCCCTCCCACCCTCATCCTGCGCCCTCTTGCCCTGCTCATGTGTATGACTGCAGGTGATCGACACGTTCCACCGCTTCGCAGGCATAGAGCGCCTCAAGGACAAGCCGGTGGGCGAGTTCCCTTTGAAACAGACGTCTCACACGTTGCCCCTGCATGCGTGCGTGTGTGTGCATGACTGCATGGCAGGTGATCGACACGTTCCACCGCTTTGCAGGCATAGAGCGCCTCAAGGACAAGCCGGTGGGCGAGTTCCGGGACGACCAGTGGCTGCTGATCGCCAAGGCTGAATCACAGGGGCTTGTGAAGGTGGAGCTGGGCCTTCCTCCCGCTGTCGTGCAGGAGAACGTTATCCAGGTAGGTGCAGAGGGGTGCAGGGGTTGAGTTGATGGTATGGTTTGGTTTGATTTGGTTTGGTTAGGGGTGTTGAAACTCTAGGGTTCAGGGTATAGGGTCTAAGCTCATCTAGGTGGCGTATTTCTCTAATGACGTCCATCACTTGGCCTCACTCATCTTAGGCAACCTCATTCCATCGACTTCCTTGTTTCCTCCCATCCCCTCCATCCCCCACACACCCTCCCCCCTGTGTCCTCTCAGGAGTTTGAAGCGGCCTACCTCTCAGACGGCGTCTCCCACTTCGCCTCGCTCTGGAACGAGCAGCGCCGCACCATCCTCCGGGCGGCAATCGCCGCCCGGCTGCTGCCGACGATGCACAAGGAGACACGCTTGCTACTCACCGGCCGCGCCAAGGCATTCGTCGCCGAGCAGTGCGCCCTCTCCCTCTGGAAACATGTCTCAGTCGCTCCTTTTGACGTCCGGGCGAAGGGGGCGGGGGGCGGCGGAGGGGGTGGGATGGGCGAAGGCGGGGGAGGGGGCATGCGGGGCGGCGGGGGGAGGGGCGGGAGGCATGGGGGAGGGGAGGAGCACGGGGGAGGGGGGCAGCCGTGGCTGCGAGTGATGGCGTGCTGCTGGGGTCCTGGTAACCCGGCAACCACCTTTGCCATGCTGAATGCCGCAGGGGAGATGGTGGATTTTCTCCATACTGGCTTCCTCTGTGCTCGCACTGGCCAGCCTAAAGGGGACGCTGCAGCACTGGGGGGGGCTGCTGGAGGGGGCATGGGGGGAGCGGGGGGAGCGGGCGGAGGGGGGGGGGGGAGGGGAGCAGCAGGTGATGGTGATGAAGAAGCGGGAGGACGAGCGGCGGCTGATGGCGTTTGTGAAGGAGCACAAGCCGCATGTCGTGGTGGTGGGCGGGGCTAACCTCGCATGTGAGCGACTCAAGGACGAGATCTGGGAGGTGCGTGGCGTGGGGTGCTGCAGCGAGGTGCGTGGGGGGCTTGTGAGTGCAGCGATTAGCACAGACAAGAAAGCTTGTAGCTCTCAAACACGTGTGCGCGTTTCTGACCCTCCTGTGCCGCTTGCTTCTCCCTCGCCTCGACCCTTCCCCCTGGCATTGCCAGTTCGCTCAAACATTTAGCTGCACGTGCCCTCCCATCCCTCCCATCGCCCCATCCCTCCCCTCCCCTCTCTCCCTCTTCCCCCTTCCATCAGGTGATCTTCAAGATCGTGGAGCACTTCCCTCGTGACCTCACCTCCGATGTCGACAACGTCCGCGTGAGTCCCTTGCTGCTGCCACCTGCTGCCAGCCACCTGCTGCCACCAGCTGCCACCTGCTGCCAGCCACCTGCTGCCACCTGCTGCCACCTGCTGCCACCTGCTGCCACCTGCTGCCAGCCACCTGCTGCCAGCCACCTGCTGCCACCTGCTGCCACCTGCTGCCAGACACCTGCTGCCACCTGCTGCCACCTGCTGCCACCTGCTGCCACCTGCTGCCAGCCACCTGCTGCCAGCCACCTGCTGCCACCTGCTGCCACCTGCTACCACCTGCTGCCAGCCACCTGCTGCCACCTACTGCCAGCCACCTGCTGCCACCTGCTGCCACCTGCTGCCAGCCACCTGCTGCCAGCCACCTGCTGCCACCTGCTGCCACCTGCTGCCACCTGCTGCCAGCCACCTGCTGCCACCTACTGCCAGCCACCTGCTGCCACCTGCTGCCAGCCACCTGCTGCCACCTGCTGCCACCTGCTGCCGCCTGCTGCCAGCTGCTCGTGGTTGTTAGAGTTAGGGATGAGCAAAATCCCGAACGCCTGTTCGGTTCGCCTCGAACATGTTCGAGGCGAACCGAACAGGCATTTATTTTTTTTGCCAAATTGTTCGGGGCGAACATGTTCGGTGTTCGGCCGAACATGTTCGCCGTTCGGCTCCGTCATCTGGGGCCCCCAAGTCGAACACGAACATGTTCGTGTTCGAAATGGGGGTGACGCGAACCCCAAATGTGTTCGCATCGAATTTGGCCGCGACCAGATTTAGGTCGTGGCCAATTCGAGGTTGAGCTCATTTCGTGAGCTCAACCTCAGAACGCTTTTACAGCCTAGCCTAGGGTTCCCTCTCACACCCGCCCTAGCCCTACAACTTGTAGCATACATGCAGTTACTACCACTACTAATATCCACGCACATTAGCTCTACGGTTTTCCTAGAGCCAAGTGTGTGTAGGGTGATTATAAGGTAGAGTAGCACCACGATCAGAGAGCGCGTTGTCAACTCCGTAGGGTTGGGGACGGGCATTTCAGAAAGCTATCCGTGCTCGAAAACGTTTAGGACCGTGGTTCTACTCGGCACGTGACCGTTGGTTCGGGGGGGGTTTAGGGTTTTAGGGCCGAGGGTGGACTTATGGCTTCCGGACATGGTAGATCCGTAGGGTTAGGTGCAGGCAGCACTCGGGGCGGCGCACCAGGTTCTCCACCACGACCTATGGAGGGGCGAGTAGGGGATGGACCTGGAGGAGCCGGCGCTTGCTTCATTGGGGGGTTTCTTTCCGTTGCGGCGCCGACATCTCGTCAGTCTTTCCGTTACGACGGCCCTCGACCCCCTCCTTCGGGGCAGACGCTGCCAGAGAGTGTCAGTGAGGAGGAGGATGAGGATGAGGCGGGTGAGGGCGAGGAGGGTGAGGAGAATGAGGGGAGCGGGGATGACAGTGAGGAGGGGTGGGATCCCGAGAAGCATGGTGGTGGGGAAGGGAGGGATGATGATGAGGATCATGAGATGGATGATTTAGAGCCAGAAGAGGTGCGGGAGGCGGTGGGGGAGGAGGTGGGAGAGGGGGGTGGAGTAGGGGCGGCGACAGAGGCGGGATCACAGCATGTGGCTGAAGGTGGAGGGAGCGTGGGGGTTAAGGTGGGGAGAAAGCCCGCGTCCTTGGCGGGTCCGAGGGTTAGGAAGAAGGCCAACAAAGTGAGGGAGCGGGCGTATCCCGCCACGTTCACTGGGGAGCCCTTGGGGGATGGTGTGATCGCTCCGGAGTTCCTAGACGAGGACGGAGGGTCAGAGAGTAGTAAGGGGACTGGCAAGGGGAGTAAGAAACCGGGGTGGCAAGTTATGATGTTCGGACCGAAAGGGGCAGACGAGAAGCGCCCGTGCAAAATTTGCACAGACAGGATTTCGTGGAAGCAATCCACAACCACACCCGGCGAGCGGCACTTCGCGAGCTTTCACACCGCGCACATGCACGTGTGGTTTCACCGTTACCACACGCCGTCCATTCAGTTGCCAGGGGAGACGTTTCCGCGTGGGGGCTACAAGGGTGTGCCGGATGGCTACGTCGAACGGTGGCCGCATGCCAAGACTTGGCCGCACCTGGCCAAGCAGAAAGGGAAGGCGTTTGGTGGAGGTCAGGGGTCAGGCGGGATCGAGCGGTTCATGACAACCAAGCTGACCTCTGTGGAGCTACGGCAGGCGATCGCCAAGCTCGTGGTCACCTGCGACCTCCCCTTCCGCATCGTCGAGGCCGAGGCTGTGAGTGCCCCATCCCAAGCATGATTGGCAGTATGTGGACAGTGGAAGTGTCTGGCCGTTGTGTTTTGATCATTAGCGTGTGGCCCTGCGCCATATTATGTCAAACCCATCCCCCATACGTTGACTCCCCTCACCCTCGGTGTCTTTACCCGTCACCAGTTTCGGGAGCTTTTGATCCTCCTAAACCGCAACTGCGCGCAGAAGAACTTCATCCCCTCGCGCTGGACGGTTTCCCGCGACACTGTGGTCTATGCAGCTGCCGCACTCCAGTCAGCCATTGCGGAGATGCTGGCGAAGGAGGGGGAGTTGGGGTGCAGGGTGTCGTTCACCATCGACATGTGGACGGCACCCAACAACAGGGCATGGCTAGTGGTGACTGGTCACTGGGTAGACGAGAACTTCCAGCTGCGCACAATGGTGTTTGAGTTCCGCGAGATTCACGGGCGGCACACGGGCAAGCAGATGGCGAGGGTGGTAGAGGAGACGGTGGTGCATTGGGGGTTGGAGGGGCGCTGTCTTGGTTTCACCTCAGACAACGCCTCTAGCAACGTTGCTGCATTCAGGTGGATGTCGGAGGAGGGAGGTGGTCAGTGCTTCTTCAACTCGCGCATGCACTTCCGGTAAGAATGGGAGTGTGCGTGGGCTGGCTATGTGGGAGTTTGGGTGTGTCGTTCCCGCGTGAACAACTTCTGGTTGTATGAGTGGGTGGGCCCTAGCGGTTTGAGTTGTAGGGTGTGTGGGGTTTGGTATGCGTTTGTGGCTCGCTATGCCCAGGTGTACTCACACTCCCCCTTCTCTCCGCCATTAATATTGTGTGCCGTGCGCAGGTGCTTGGCACACGTGATCAACCTTGCAGTGAAGGCAGCTCTCGCAGTGGCTGCCATCCGCAAGTTGTTGCGGATTCTGAGAGAGATGGCGTCGTGGATTGGCTTCTCTCCGCAGCGCTCAGGGAAGTTCTTGGGCCTTCAGCGGACCCTGAACGCGCAGGCCAACCCCGCCAAACCGAAGCCGGCGTTGAAGCTGGTGCAGGACAGTCCCACGCGCTGGGGGTCGACCCACGACATGGTCGAGCGAGCTGGGGTTCTGCAGGAACCCATCACTGTCTTCTTTGCCCAGACAAAGGTGTGTGTGACAGGTGTTGTGCATGCGGGCAGCAGTCTAATGTGTGGGTATGTCGTGGGGTGTTGAGTTCTATCACGTCCACCACTGTTGGCCATGCTTTATGTATGTTATCGGACCCCAACAACCTCAATAACCCTACTTTCCATCTTAACACCCGCCAACCCCTACCCTCTACCCGACAGGGACTGTCGAAGGCTGACAAGGCGAAGGTGGATAGCCTGCGCCTAACGGACGCAGACTGGGAGACTCTGCATGCTGTCAAGACGTTCCTCAGCCCATTCGCAAAAGTCTCAAAGGCGGCGGAGGGTGCGGCGTACCCTACAGTGGCGATGGTGCTGCCGTACTACAACGGCCTGATCGACGTTATGGAGTCGCGCCTAGCCAAGGGGCCATCGGCTACGCTGAAGCCGATGATTGAGGCAGCGCTGGGTCTCTTGAAGAAGTATGAACTGATGTCCAGCAACGAGTTGTGGATCGCCACCTTCCTGGACCCTTCCATGAAGGCGGCGTGGTTCGACGACCCGCACTGGGAGACGCTGCATCCCGAGACCGACCGGAGGGCGAGGCCGCGTCCCTCGTCAGGCGAGGTGATCCAGCTGGTACGCGACCGCGTGACCGAGTACCAGGCCCGGGCTGCAGCGCTTGCACCTCGGCCGACCCCACTTGCCACTGTGACGGAGGAGGAGGAGGGGGACGCGGCGGATGACGACGAAGACGCGCAGTTTCTCCCGAGTCGCCGACGACTAGCGGCGCGTCTGTCAGCGAGCCAGGAGGCGGGGAGGGGTGGGATGGTGCAGGATGACGAGGTTAGCAGGTACTTATCTGAGAGGGTGCGGTGCGACGTGTCAGCGCTGGAGTATTGGCGCACCGCCACCAACATGCAGACGCTGAGGCGCATGGCCCGGGATTATCTCGCCATCCCTGCCACGTCCGCTTCGAGCGAGCGCGTGTTCTCTCTCGGCCGCAACCTCATTTCCTGGAAGCGGCACCGCCTGGCCTCTCAGAGGACGCGAGCTGTCATGATTCTCAAATCATGGTACAGTTCACACCCTGGACAGAGGATAGGCGAGGGCCGCCGTGCAAAGGGCGTCGCACCGCCAGAGTTCGCCATTGAAGGCGAGGGGGAGGAGGAGGACGACGAGGAGGAGGAGGAGGGGGAGGAGGAGTGGGAGGAGGAGCAGGAGGGGGTGGGTGCTGGCGACACCGCTGGCGGGGAGCAGGCTGTTGTTGGTAGTAGCAGTGGAGTTCAGTCGTAGGATTTTATTTGACATTGACTTGACTTTTACATTCACAGAACATGATGCCTTCGTATGCTTTTGTGCGTTGCATGAACACAGAGACACCCTCCACACCCCTATCTATCTACCCGACCCTCCAAATCCCCTGTCTGACCACTGTGACTATAACGAAGTTCCCCCTGGGCGAACTCGAACATGTTCGAGGCGAACATGTTCGAGTTCGCCCTCAGAAACAAAATGTTCGCCCCCTGGGGCGAACGGCGAACACCTGCCGTAGGCCAATTAGTTCGCCGAACCGAACAGTGTTCGGTTCGGGAAATGGCCCTGTTCGAGGGGGGGCGAACCCGAACGTGTTCGAGTTCGCCCTCTGCTCATCCCTAGTTAGAGTTACTGGATTTTCTTGAGACCGCCATGGCTGTAGAAACCGCCAGCTCATAGCACCACTTGCATCCTTCCTTTTTCTCTCCTCTGCCTCCTGTCGCCCAAGTTGTGCTCACTGCCCACCGCCGGCCTGGACACCCTCACCTCACCTCACCGTCATTTTGTCTTTTCTGGCACGTCAATAATTCGCCTGCCCGGACACCGCCACCTCACCTCCAGTTCATCTCTCACCCTCCCACGCCGCTGACCAACCACACCCTCACTTCCCTCGTTCACCAGCTTCCTTGCATCTGCATGCAAGCTCACACCCCTTTCCCCCTCTGCCGTCTTCTCCTGTCTCCCCCCCCCCCGCCCGGCTCATGCACCAGGTGGTGTTTCAAGACGAGACGCTCGCGCTGCTGTACGAGAACTCTGCTATCTCCCAGGAGCACCTGCCCTCGCAGCCAGGCAAGCACTGCTCTCGCAGCCAGGCAATCTCTTGTGGCTCTCAGGCAGGCAAGCACTTTGCAGCCAGGTAACTCTCAGGCAGGCAAGCACTTTGCAGCCAGGTAACTCTCAGGCAGGCAAGCACTTTGCAGCCAGGTAACTCGCAGGCAGGCAAGCACTTTGCAGCCAGGTAACTCGCAGGCAGGCAAGCACTTTGCAGCCAGGTAACTCGCAGGCAGGCAAGCACTTTGCAGCCAGGTAACTCTCAGGCAGGCAAGCACTTTGCAGCCAGGTAACTCTCAGGCAGGCAAGCACTTTGCAGCCAGGTAACTCTCAGGCAGGTGGGCATGAGAGCAGGTGTGTTTTGAGTTGGCTCCAAGCACACACTTTTGAGGCGCCTCAAGAGTTGGCTCCAAGCACACACATCCCGCAGGAGCGCAAGAGAGCAGCACAGCACCTCCTGCTAGGATGAGAGGTCTGTTTAAGACGGAAGAACAGATACCCAAGTCGCTCCAGGCAGTTGGACACAAGTGCTCCAGGCATAGTGCGGCGCACAGTTGGGCACGGGTGGCCCTGGCAGTATTCTCTGACTCGTCCTCAGCACTCCTCCCTTCACTCCCTTCGTCTCCCCACCTCACACCCCTTCTCCATCCCCTCTCCCCCTCCGCCCACCTCTTTCTCGCCTCTTTCATGCGTCGTGTGGCGCACGCTTGGACTGCCAGTACGTGCGGGGCGGTGCGTGCGGGGCGGTGCATCCACACTTGTTCTCCTGCCGTCTCCTCCACCCACCCTTTTCCCCACAAGAGAAGAGAACAGTGCGGCGCCCGATGGGGCTGGGGCACTACATGCAGAACAGCTTCCTGAACCGTCTTCAACACCCATCCCTTCGCTCCCTTAAGCTCCTCACCTCACATCTCCCCTCCCCTCCCTCCACCCTCCACCCCCCCTCCCTCCCTCCTCCGGCCCATCTCTTCCTCCCCACTCCTCAGGCATAGTGCAGCGCACAATTGGACTGGTTCACTACATGCAGAAACCCTAACCGACCTATCCCCGTGTCTCTTCCCCCACACACCCCCTCTTCCCCTCCTCCCTCCAGGCATAGTGCGGCGCACAGTGGGGCTCGGGCGCTACATGCAAAACCGGCTGGCGCTGGCGGCGTGTCTGTTTGGGCCGGCAAGGGAGGTGCTATCTGCCAAGTTCCACCGCTCTCAGGACCTGCTGCCGCCCGATGACGTGTACGAGGCCCTTGAGCACGTCATGGTTACTGTTACCAACCAGGTAAATAGGGTTACCAACCAGGTAAATAGGGTTATGAAGCAGTTGCTGGGTAGGTGGGGTCACCAACAAGGTAGGATTGCCAATCATTGGGACGTCTCAAGACACGCCCGATGACATGTACGACGTGCTTGAGTGCGTCATGGTCACCGTTACCAACCAGGTGGGTGGGGTTTCCAACCAGGTAAGTAGGGTCAAGCAGGAGCATCATGCATTGAGGCGTCCCAAGGCATGCCTGATGACGTGTACGACGCGCTTGAGTACGTCATGGTCATTGGTCACCGTTACCAACCAGGTGGGGTTGCTGGGCAGGTGCTGTTACCAACCAGGTGGGGTTGCTGGGCAGGTGCTGTTACCAACCAGGTGGGGTTGCTGGGCAGGTGCTGTTACCAACCAGGTGGGGTTGCTGGGCAGGTGCTGTTACCAACCAGGTGGGGTTGCTGGGCAGGTGCTGTTACCAACCAGGTGGGGTTGCTGGGCAGGTGCTGTTACCAACCAGGTATGGCTGCTAAGCAGGTTCGGTGCGGTTACCAACTAGGTGGGGTTACCGAGCAGGTGGGTGAATTCTTTGAAGAAAATTAAGGCACCATAATTGTGTCCCACATATCTATTTAAATGGGATGAGTTTTCGTTCGTTGTCCCTATGTCTGAACATCACTTCTGCTTTTCGTCTCACTTAAAGGTGAATTCGGTTCGCCTACACAGTTTCCCAGTTCCCACGCCTTACCCATCACCCGCCCGCCTCCTCTCTCGCCATCGCTGCACTCCAACCTCCGCCTGGCACACACTCACCATACTGCCACCCAGGTGGGCATGAGTGGGAGCTACGCCGCTTTTCAGACAAGCCAAAGCTCTCTCGCCATGCCCCCATCCCTTTGCACCTAGCAGGTGGCCGTGGGTGTTAACGATGTGGCACAGGAAGCAGCGTATGAGTTGACTCAGAACGCATATATTCATCACTCTCTTACTCCCCCCTTTCACTGGCTGCTAGGTGGGAGTGGATGTGAACTACGCAGCACAGGAGGCGCAGGATTGGCTCTTTGCGCCGCTGCAGTTTGTGTGCGGCCTCGGACCCAGAAAGGCCTCCACGCTCAAAGTGAGTTTTGAGACGTCTCAAAACGGACCCAGAAAGGCCTCCACGCTCAAAGTGAGTCATGAGCCTCCTTGCCTCCTCACCACCCTCATCCATGTCCGATGCGCCTCTTGCCCCCTCATTCTCCCTCACCACACCTGCTCCCTCTCCCACCTTGCCTCTCTCCTCCTCTCTCTCTCTCCCCGCTTGTCTCGCATGCTCCTTTCTTTGACCTCCTCCCATCGATGTCCCCCGTGCCTCGCTCCCCTCGCCCCTCACCACCCTCCCCCTCGCCCTCACCACCCTCCCCCTCGCCCCTCACCACCCTCCCCCTCGCCCCTTGCCATCAAATTGGATTCTGAACTCTTTCATCTCCCACTCGCCTCTCACCCCCTCACCTCTCTCCTGCTCGCCTCTCTCCCTATTACCTCTCTCTCCCTCACCCCTCACCGATTTCCCCCCACCCCCCCCCCCCCCACGATCAGATGCGCATACTGGGGGAGGGCGTGGCGAGGCGGCGCAAGGACCTCATCGACCCGCCCTTCCTGCTGGACCAGGTGCGTCGCTGTTTCCTGCTTCTTACCTTCCTGCTTACCTTCCTGCTCCGTCCCCGCCTTAGTGTCCTGCCCTTGCCTTTGTGCTCCAACCCCCAACTGCCGTCCCTCCCCTCTTGTCCCCCTCCTCTAAACGTTGTTCCCCTCCCATGCTTGTCCGCTCCTTGCACTCGTTCGCTATCCCCACCTGTCCGTCCCCCACGTGGTGTTCATGAACGGTGCAGTGCGGTGCAGCGTTAATACTCGTGCAAGGGTAGAATGCCTTGTTATGCATTATTCCCCTTTCACTTGGCTAGTGCCTGCCCAGCTTTCGTGCATTGCCCCTCCCCCCCGTCAATGTTCGCTTTCCCCCCTCACCTCCCCCGCACAGGTGGTGTTGTATGAACGGTGCAGCATTCGTTTGTTTGAGGAGGAGGGAAGTCATGCTGCGGGATGTCCCAATCCGCCCTCTGGACTCCTGTTGTCTCCCCCCCCCCCCCCCCCCCCCCCCGCACACCAGGTGGTGTTCATCAACGCAGCAGCGTTCATTCGCGTTCGCGGGCAGGATGACATGCTGGATGACTCTCGGATCCACCCAGCAGACTACCGCCTGGCGCTCAAGGTGGCAACAGATGGCTACTGCGAGGCCCACCGCGGCATGACTCCGCACAGCGTGGAGGAGCGCGGCATAGATGTGGTCCTCGAGGCTCGGGACAACCCGGACCTGATCCGCAGGCTCGATTTCGAGGACTACGCGGTGATGCTGGCTCGGAAGGGGCAGGGCGGGCTGAAGGAGAAGCTGCTGCTGATTCGCCGGGAGCTCATGCACGGGTTTGCCGAGTGCCGGGTTCAGTTTGAGTCGCTGAATGCAGACGAGCAGTTCTGGCTGCTGAGTGGGGAGACTGAGGAGAGTCTTGCGGTGGGGAAGGTGGTGACTGCGACTGTGAAGCGAGTGTTGAAGTTCAAGGTGTTGTGTGCGTTGGAGAGTGGTGTGCTGGGCGAGGTGGACCGGAGGGATTTCAGTGACGATCCGAATGTGGAGTTGAGGGATGTGGTGACCGAGGGGCAGCCGCTGACATGCCGCATCAAGGAAGTTAAGACCGAAGAGGCCAAGGTGCGTGTGAGGGGAAGAAAATGGGTGGGGAAAGAGGGGGGATGTGTGTGGGAGTTGGAAGGGTTCAATGTGTGTGGGGGCTTGGGGGTTTCTCGTGACTGCCGCGTCCCTGCTTGGTTTTCTCTTCCACTTGCCTCTTTTTCAATTGCTTCCCCCCAGCCTCGCGTTGCATTCGTCCCTCTCCCCATTCCACTCTTCCCGTCTCCCATCTCCCACCTCCCATTACTACCACCTCCCATCATCTTCCACCTCCCACCCACCCCCTACCACCCGCGCAGGTGATCCTAACATGCAAGGGCAGCGACCTGAGGAGCAGCGAGTGGAGGGAGTTGCGGCAGTGGGACCCGTATTACCAGCGCGCTGCAGTGGAGCAGGAGGAGCAGGCGGCAACGGAGGAGAGGAAGCGCAAGGAGGAGGGGAAGCGCAAGACCGCCTTCCGCCCCCGCATGATCACCTACCCGCTCTTCCACAACGTGTCTCTTGAAGGCGCTAAGAAGGTGTGTGCGCTGCGGTTTCAATGATGAAGGGGTGAATGAACACGCTTCAATTGCGTGCATCATCACCTACCTGCTCTTCGATTACGTTTATAAGTATTTGGGGACACCTGATCTTAAGAGGACGACCGCCTTTGGCCCCCACATGATCGCGTACCCACTCTTCCACAACGTGTCTCTCGATGGCTACCAAGTAGACGACTTTTGAGACGTCTCAAAAGTCGCCTTTGGCCCCCACATGATCACCTACCTACTCTTCCACAACGTGTCTCTTGATGGTGACAAGTAGGTGGAGTGGCCTTTGCTCTCAACTGAGAAAGGTTGCATGTTTGCGCTCAGAACATGTGCGCGCAGGCTGCATCCATACCTACTTGCTAGGCTGAGTTCACTTGAAGAAGAAACCAGGAGAGTTGACTTGATCGTCACATGCATCCGTTCGCCGTTCCCCCATCCCCGTGCATTCCCGTTTGCATTACCCCTGTGCTTCCTCCTACCCAACACAGGTCCTAGCGGACAAGGATGTGGGCAGCGTTGTAATCCGTCCCAGCAGCCGTGGCCCCACGCACCTGAGCATCACCATGAAGCTGCCAGACGGCGCCTTCACGCACGTGGACGTGCACGAGGGGGGCAAGGACCGCACCTCCGCCACCAGCTTCCTGCGCCTTGGCCGCACTCTTACTATCGGGGATGAGAGCTACGAGGACCTGGATGAGGTGAGTGCTTTGAGCACGTGGGCGGGGTGAGATCGGGTGCAGGCATGAGTGTGTTGAGCTGGGCTGCCAGGCAGAGCTGTCATCTTGCTGCATTCACACACGTGGATGTGCACGAGGACGGCAAGGACCGCACCTCCGCCACCAGCTTCCTGAGCCTCGGCCGCACGCTCACCATTGGGGATGAGAGCTACGAGGATCTGGATGAGGTGAGAGAGAGGGTGAGGTGAGGTGAGGGCGAGTGCTGTGTGCATGTGGACGGGGTGAGACGGGTGTAGGCATGAACCCTGCCTTCACATGCGGTGCGTCGTGTCAAAGGCATGCCTTCACGCACGTGGACATGCACGAGGGCGGCAAAGACCGCACCAGCGCCACCAGCTTCCTGGGGATGAGAGTTATGAAGACTTGGATGAGGTGAGATGGGTTGCCGTGGTGGTTGTAAGGCGGGTTCAACGGGTGAGTGTGTGTGTTGTTCCTCCTGTGCCGCCACCCTCACCATTGGCAACGACTTCTACAAGGACCTGGACGAGGTGAAAAGTTGCCTCTCCACCTCTCTCCACCCTTCTTCACCCCTCTCCACCCTTGTGGAGCATCACAACGAGCCCCGGATTTTGAGATGCCTCAAAAAATTTGTCTGTCAACCCCTCCGTACCACTCTCCCTTCCACCCCTCCCCACCAGGTGATGCGCGCTACATCGAGCCGCTAGCAGCGTGCATGCGGGACCTGGCAGCATACTGCAAGTTCCGCCTCGGTTCCAAGGGCAACATGGACGCTCCTCACCACCCCTCCCCACTCCTCTCAACCCTCTCCACCTTCTCTCTCCACCAGGTGATGGCGCGCTACATCAAGCCGCTAGCAGCGTGCATGCGGGACAAGGCGACATACTGCACGTTCCGCCTCGGATCCAAATCCGACATGGACGCCCTCGTGCCTCACCACCCCTTCCCACCCCTCCCCACCCCTCCCCACCCCTCCGCACCCCTCTCCACCGCTCTCCACCAGGTGATGGCACGTTACATCGAGCCCTTGGCAGCGCGCATGCGGGACATGGCGGCATACCGCAAGTTCCGCCAGGGCTCCAAAGGCGACATGGACGCCCTAGTCCGCACCGACAAGGAGCGCGAGCCCGCGCGCATCCCCTACTACCTCTCCCTCTCGCACGACCACCCCGGCGCCTTCATGCTCACTTATATCCGCTCCGCCTCTGTCTCCGGCCGCCCCGTGCACGAGTATATCACGGTTTCGCCCGAGGGGTTTCGGTTCAGGAAGCACACGTTCCCAACGCCGGACCGTTTGGTGAAGTATTTCCAGGCGCACTTCAATGACCCGGTGGAGGGTGGCCATGGGGCAGCGGGCGGGGGTGGTGGGAAAAGAGAGACGCCGCGCCGAGGAGCTTCTGGTGGTGGTGGTGGTGGTTTGGCTTTGCCCCCGCCACCCCCGATACCGGCAGGGGGAAGGGGAGGTCGGTGGGACCAGGCTGGGTCAGGTGGTTGGGGGGCTGCAGGAGGTGGGGGGGATAAGATTGGATGGGGGGGAGGGGCGTGGAGTGGGGGGGGTGGGGGGGAGCAGGGAGGAGGGCAAGTGTGGCAGTCTGGAGACGGCGGTGGGAGTGGTTGGCAAAATGCAGGTGGCTGGGGTGGTGAGGGAGGGGGAGGGGGGGGGGGAGGATGGGGAGCTGGGAGCGGTGGTGGGTCGGGAGGAGGGTGGGGAGCTGGAGGGGCTGATAGGGGGGGTGGCGCAAGAACTCCACTTAGGGGATGATGATATGGAAGGAAGTACAGAGCTAACAAATTATCTTACTGTCAATAACAAGGTGGATGTGGCTATTATTTCTGCGCTTGTTTGCAAGTCATAAATCACATTCTGCTCTGTTACGATATCGATGGTTGGAATTGATTTCTACAGTGACGAAAGGCCATTCGTGGCTGGACGTGTATCGCGTATCGTTTTGCCCCACCTGTTCTGGTGGTGAGACGTGGCAATAATATTCCACGCACCTTGACTTCGCGCCGCAGCCTTCTGGCCATTTCGCCGATGTGGAGGATACTCTGAGCGCCACGGTGTACCCAGCAGACTTCAAACACAAATTTTCAAGCCGAGGTGGTCAAAGGCCCACGTTCAAGGTCTACATTTTGTAACGCTGTAACGGACAGCGCCACTGTGCCAGCATTGACACCTTGCTTGGCCACGCGAATTCTATCCACTAACCCTTGGGATTGCACCCCACCACACCGCAATCGCGCATCGCTCCAAACACTCCTGTGACACACTCGCCACAGCACCAGCGTTGCAGCAACCACTCGAGATTCCCTTATCTCCCAAACCCTCCATTGTTGCTTGCTACTTTGCGCTGGTGTAATCGCCCTCTCCCAGCGGTTTCGAGTCAGGGCCGCGTTCCTAGAAGCCCTTCTCACAGCGCTCCCTAATCGAAGCTTATCTCGTCGCCAACAGCGAAACATGGCGTCGTCACTCGCCAGCTGTCCGCTAAAGGTCGCCAGCAGCGTCGCAGCTCCCGTCGCAGGCGACAGGACCAGCGCGGTCGCGTCGAGCAATGCGGCCGTCGCCGTGCCGTTCGTCGGCCTCAAGGCCGGCAAGGACCTTCCCGGCGCTGCCAAGGCTTCTCAGGCGAAGAAGTCTGCCGACCGCAAGATGCGGACCGTGTCGCGATCAGTCGCCGCTGGACGCTCTCCCGTGATCTGCATGGCCGAGGGAGGTGCGTGTGGGCTCGGCTTGGGACTGCTCTGATTGACTTAAAGGATGTGCGTGCCGTGCTCGTACCGTGCGAATGGAATATCATTTAGTCCACGTGTCTCGTCCCGGTGGCTACGGCATGCTCGTGAATCACCCAAGGTCGTAGTCGAATGAGTCGAATGAGAATCGCAAGGATTACTTATCGGCAAACTATAGAATTGAACGCTTTCCCGCGCGATACTTATATTAAGGCGTCTGAACAGTCGAGGACCCGCGTGACATGCGATGTGCTGGCGCGCGACGTTCGTGAGACCCGTGCAGGCCCGCAGATACTGCGTGAGAACCACCGCAGCATCGCATGATGGCACACATTGACGCGTTATGAGCCTTCTCATTATCCGCGAAGTCGCTTCCGCTACATTGTCATACATGTGGCTTCCCGCAGGCCGGCAAGTGCCGCTGGAGGACTACCCCAACATCGGCACCATGGTGCAATCGACGCGTTATAAGCTGTCTCATTACCCTGAACGGTTTGCTTCCTGTACACTGTGTTGCCGGTGCATCACGCAGGCCGACAGGTGCCGCTGGAGGACTACCGCAACATCGGCATCATGGTACACATCGACGCGTTATAATGTGCCTCATAATCCGCCAAATCCTCCTGTGTACATTGCCATATATGTGCCTCACGCAGGCCGACAGGTGCCGCTGGAGGACTACCGCAACATCGGCATCATGGCGCACATCGACGCGGGCAAGACGACGACGACCGAGCGCGTGCTGTTCTACACGGGCAAGAACTACAAGATCGGCGAGGTGCACGAGGGCACCGCCACCATGGACTGGATGGAGCAGGTGAGCTGCGGGGCCTCTTCTAACTGGATGGAGCAATTAATCCCAAAGGATTAGGCTGCGAGTGTATGTGTGGAATACGAAACAGCACCTTCAGTTTTCCAAACCTAAGTCGCATCGTCACGTTCGTTCCCCTCTGTCTCCAAGCGTCATACCACGTGCGGTCACCGCTTTGCCACGTGCGATCACCGCCTCTGAGCCCACTGTTCCGCGAATCGACTCCTCGTGGTGTTCCAACAATGGCCCGACTGTCACACCCCCATACCCTTGTCTCCGCCTGACCATGCACTCCGCGCCTAGCTCCTTCCCGCGTCCCACCCCCTCCCTTCCCCTCCTTTCCCCCCCTGCCCCGCCACGCCTGCAGGAGCAAGAGCGCGGCATCACGATCACGTCCGCCGCGACGACGTGCATGTGGAACAACCACCGCATCAACATCATCGACACGCCCGGCCACGTCGACTTCACGCTCGAGGTGGAGCGCGCGCTGCGCGTGCTGGACGGCGCCATCTGCCTCTTCGACTCCGTCGCCGGCGTCGAGCCGCAATCCGAGGTGAGCTGAATGTGTGCCCTGTCCGAGTCCCAGTTACGCCCTGCGCGGACACAATCCGATTTCAAAGCCTTCAATACCACACGCTCAACCTCTCTGTCCCCTCCACTCCCTCTCTTTCCCCCCTCCCCACCCGCCTCTTTCCCCCTCCTTTCCCCCCTCCCTGGTCCCCCCTTCCTCCTTAGACGGTGTGGCGGCAAGCAGACAAGTACGGAGTGCCGCGCATCTGCTTCGTGAACAAGATGGACCGCCTGGGCGCCGACTTCTACCGCACGCGCGACATGATCGTCAGCAACCTGGGCGCCAACACGCTCGTGCTGCAGCCTTCCTGAGGCGCCTAATAAACAGACTCTCCCTTCCCCCACTCCCCTCTTCCCCACGTGCCCCACCCGCCTCTCCCCCGATCCCCCGCGTGCCCCACCCGCCTGTTTCCCCCCCTCCCTCGCCCCCCCCAGACGGTGTGGCGGCAAGCGGACAAGTACGGCGTGCCGCGCATCTGCTTCGTGAACAAGATGGACCGCCTGGGCGCCAACTTCTACCGCACGCGCGACATGATCGTCAGCAACCTGGGCGCCAACCCGCTCGTGCTGCAGCTGCCCATCGGCGCGGAGGACGCGTTCCAGGGCGTGGTGGACCTCGTGCGCATGAAGGCGATTGTGTGGAACGGCGAGGAACTGGGCGCCAGCTTCGAGTACCTCGACATTCCCGAGGACCTCCAGGAGAAGGCTGCCGAGTACCGCGCGCAGCTCGTCGAGTCGGTCGTTGAGCTGGTGAGTCGAGGGAGAAGGGGTGCGGGTTGGGGGGAGGGGGGAGATGCTGGAGGGTGGAGGGTGGTGGGTGCGTTATGGAGGGTATGAGGGTGGTAGGGGTATCAGAAGGGGTTCGCCGGACAGCTTGTGTGATTGGTTGAGGCGTGCCTTGTATGAATCAACGGTCACTTGCAGCTCGTGGCGTCTGTTTTCACAGTCATTCAAACAATTACGCTTTCTGTTAAGACAACTAGGCTAACCAAATCAATTTACACCCTCCCTCCACTTCCTTATCCATCACATCACCTCACCTTCCTTCATCTTCACGTTCCCCTTTGCACCACACCCTCTCCCACCATCTCCCACCCTCACCACCCCGTCTCCCCTCCTTCCTTCCCCTTACCATGGCAGGACGACGACGCGATGAGGCGTGTCTGGAGGGCGAGGAGCCCGGCGAAGACTCCCTGAATTGCCTTGAACACACTCCTCCCTTTTCACCCTCCCCTCCTTCACCCTCCTATACTCACGTCTTTCCCTCTCCTCAGGATGACGACGCGATGGAGGCGTATTTGGAGGGCGAGGAGCCGGACGAAGCCACCCTCAAGCGCCTCATCCGCGTGGGCACGATCGGGTCGTCGTTCGTCCCGGTGCTGTGCGGTACCGCGTTCAAGAACAAGGGCGTGCAGCCGCTGCTTGACGCGGTCATCGACTACCTCCCCTCCCCGCTCGACCTCCCGCCCATGAAGGGCTCCGACCCCGAGGATCCCGAGAAGGCCCTCGACCGCCCCCCTAGCGACTCCGCTCCTTTCTCCGGGCTCGCGTTTAAGATCATGACGGATACGTTTGTGGGTTCGTTGACGTTCGTGCGGGTTTACTCGGGCGTGCTGACGGCCGGGACGTACGTTATGAACGCGAATAAGAACCGCAAGGAGCGCATCGGACGGCTGTTAGAGATGCACGCGAACTCGCGCGAGGACGTTAAGATCGCACGCACGGGCGACATTATCGCGCTCGCAGGGCTCAAGGATACGATCACGGGCGAAACGCTGTGCGACCCTGACGCTCCGGTGGTTCTCGAGCGCATGGACTTCCCGGACCCAGTCATTAAGGTCGCTATTGAGCCTAAGACTAAGGCGGATGTTGATAAGATGGCGAACGGTCTGATTAAGCTCGCTCAGGAGGACCCGTCGTTCCACTTCTCTCGCGACGAGGAGACGAATCAGACGGTCATCGAGGGAATGGGAGAGCTGCATCTGGAGATTATCGTCGATAGGCTGAAGCGCGAGTTTAAGGTGGAAGCTAATGTCGGCGCGCCGCAGGTTAACTACCGCGAGAGTATCGGCCGGCCGGTGGAGATTAAGTACACGCACAAGAAGCAGTCGGGCGGGCAGGGCCAGTTCGCGGAGGTGGTGATTAAGTTCGAGCCGCTGGAGCCGGGGAGCGGGTACGAGTTTAAGAGCGAGATCAAGGGCGGGACCGTGCCCAAGGAGTATGTTCCGGGCGTGGTGAAGGGGCTCGAGGAGTGCATGGGCAGCGGCGTGCTCGCTGGGTTCCCTGTCGTGGACGTGCGCGCTACGCTTCTTGGTACGTACATGTGTTGGGGTTGATGTTTTCGGCACCGCAACACGCCCATGCATGTGCGAATGCACGGGGAGGGGCTCGAGGAGTGCATGGGCAGCGGCGTGCTCGCTGGGTTCTCTGTCGTGGACGTGCGCGCCACGCTTCTTGGTACGTACATCTTGGGGTTAACTCTCTAGCTTCCCTCCCGCTTCCCTTCACACCATTCCCTGCCCCTACCTGCCCCTAAATGCTACAAGCTGCCCCATCCGCCCATCACTCACCCCTCCCCCAACCCTCCACTTTCCCACCACCCTCATTTCTCTCGCATCCCTCCACGTTTTCCGATTACCTTTATCCCTCCTTCAACCCAAATTCTCCTTGCACACTCGCCCCTCCTCCCTGTACCTCCACCAGAGGGCTCGTACCATGAGGTGGATTCCAGCGTGCTGGCATTCCAGCTTGCTGCGCATGGGGCGTTCAAGGAGGGCATGGGCTCAGTTGAAACTAAGCCCCCCTTTCCCCCGTCCATGTCCCTCCCCCCCCCCCCCACTGCTACTTTTTACCAGAGGGTTCATACCATGAGGTGGACTCCAGCGTACTGGCATTCCAGCTGGCGGCGCGCGGCGCGTTCAAGGAGGGCATGGGCAAGGCGTCGCCGCGGCTGCTGGAGCCGGTGATGAAGGTGGAGGTGATCACGCCCGAGGACCACATGGGTGACGTCATCGGTGACCTCAACTCGCGCCGTGGGCAGATCAACAGCTTCGGTGACAAGCCGGGCGGCATGAAGGTGAGCCGAGGGGAGAGAGAGAAGAGGGAATGCAGAGGGCAGGAGAGGGGTAGGCGAGGAGATGAGACGGCATGGAGAGGGAAGAGGGGGAATGGGTAAGAGGGGAGGGCTTAGAGTCAGACTGGGCAGTTGCCGCGGCTGCTGGAGCCGGTGATGAAGGTGGAGGTGGTGACGCCCGAGGACCACATGGGTGACGTCATTGGCGACCTTAACTCGCGCCGTGGGTAAATCAACTCGTTTGGAGACAAGCTGGGTGGCATGAAGGTGAGAGGAAGGGAAGGAGGAATGGGGGGACGGAGAGGAGAGGGAATGGGGAGGAGAGGTGAGAGACTGGGAAGGAGAGAAGAGGGGTAGGGGAGAAGAGGTGAGGGAATGGGAAGGAGAGAAGAGGGGTAGGGGAGAAGAGGTGAGGGAATGGGAAGGAGAGAAGAGGGGTAGGGGAGAAGAGGTGAGGGAATGGGAAGGAGAGAAGAGGGGTTGGGGAGAAGAGGTGAGGGAATGGGTAAGAGGAGAGTATAGAGTCAGATTCGGTTTGGAGGCAGTGGCGCCAAGAACGTGTCACTCTATTGAGATGTCTCAGACTAGCGCGAAGTGAAGGGACGAGCAGAGTTGAGTGTGAGTGGCAGGGAGGAGGTAGAAGCGCAAAAGGTAGAAGCAGCAGGGGTCACCACCGAGGGCAAGTGAGTGGAAGAGGAGTTGTTTATAAGCGGGCGGGTGAAGGGGAATAGCTTGTACGGAATGCAGCAAGGCTGGGTGTTGGAAGCTGCGGCAGAGGGGTTTGCCATAGCAAGCCCGGGGGAGTGAGGGAATTGGTGCCCCGGGCCATCACTCCCAGATGGTCCAGCTTTATATTGTGTCTGCTCTCACTCACCAGTCCTCCAGTGTGCCCCATGTGAGTTTTCCAGGTGCTTCATGCCTGAAGCCCTTGCTGAGAACTTTTCATCCTAACCTGCTCACCCTGTTCCTCCGCACTCTCTTTACCCTGATTATCTCATCTCCCCCGTGTCTCACACTCCCACTAGGTGGTGCGTGCACTGGCGCCCCCAAAGGAGATGTTAACCACGTGTCCAACTTTTCCTCACCCCTGCTCATCAATCCACCATTTCCCCTTCTCTTCCCCCCCTTTCTCTCCCCTCTTCCAACCAGGTGGTGGATGCACTGGTGCCGCTGTCAGAGATGTTCAACTATGTGTCCAACCTGCGTGGCATGACCAAGGGGCGTGCCAACTACACCATGCAGCTCGCACAGTTTGACGTCGTGCCCACCAACATCCAGAACCAAATCACCGCCAAGGCACAGGGCACCGCTGTCTAACTCCATTGTTAAGTGCTTGGGAACTTATGTACTAGCACTGCCAGTACCGTACCTTTTTTGCTTAGCATTGTTATTTTTAGGTTTCTCTTTTTATGCAAAACCCTTCCTGTTCTTCGGATGGTGTGAACCTCACAAGGTTGTGCTGGCTGCATACAGTAGCTGTAAGATCCACACACTGGTGAACCATATCCTACTGCACTGATATAATTTAAGATATGACAGGTACCGTATAGGTTGGCACTGGTTTGATGGTGCATAAAAAGCTGTCTGATATGCATAATACCCGTAATCACCCGGACCAGGGCCTCAGATTCACTTTTAAAGTCGTATACCCTTCAGGGTCCCCTTGCGTGTAAACTCTGATTGACAGTGTTCCTAAAAAAAAAAGCCTGAAATAACAGTGTTGTGCTAAAAAAAAGACTGATCCATCAGGGTTCCACTAGTAAAAAAGCTGAAACTATTATAAAAGTCTTGATTTAAAATTCAGGAGTACAGTTACTACAGTAGCTTCCTAGAAAAGAGCAGCTGCTCTTATTATCTAATAGGAGTCATCCATGTATCAGCATCGGAATCAGACTCATCATCACTCCCCTGCGCCTTTGGTTCTTCCCACTCCTCGAGTGCCTCCTTTCCCCTGCCACTTCCCTCCCCCTCTCTTGCTGGAGGTGCTGCCACATTGCCAAATGGCCGGCGCTTCTTGTAGCTGCGCCAGATTTTCACCAGTTCGTTGTAGTCAGGCTCGTAGTCGAGGAGCGACATCGTGACGAGATCTTCAAGCCGAGCGTCTTTGAGGCTCCCACGCTGCCACGATTTGATGATATTCTGGCGGGAAAACCCGCGCTCACATTCCACTGTGCTCAGCGGCAGCACTGCGACAGCCACCCAGAGACGCACGAGGTTGGGGTAGCTAGTCGTCCAATCGCTTGTCTTCAGCATCGCTGTTAGCCCGGCGTGGAAGCTTCGCTCGTTATTCGGGGCACCTGCGAGGATGGGGCAGAAGGCACGCAGTTCTTTCATCGCCCGCAGTTTGTCGATCCCTGCCACACAAAACAGAAGGGAGATTGTCAGTTAGATTGGATGGCTTGGCATGGTATACCCGTGTATGCATGGCATGGCACTATTGAAACATAGGAACAAAGAGAATCATGGACAACAAGGGTGCACAAAATGCGAGTACCTGGAAGGATGTCGTCAGTCTCCTGTGCCCTGAACAGCGAGACGAGTGACATGAGCCACTCGACACACTGTTTGTGGCGCTCCGCTCTCCCAGGCGGGTACTCGTCTGGCATGAAGAGCCTCACTCCCACCAGGTTGTCCAAGTCTTCAAACCTCTTGCTGAGGTTACGGACGAGCGTCTCGGCAAATGATGTGCAGAGATCGACGCAGGCATCGTGTGTTCCCAGAGTTGGGTAGTCCTCGCTTGGGTTCTCATGCAGTTGGAACTTGTGTGTAGTCGGCCGACCGTCAGAGTCCACACCCTGCACCGTCACCTCGGGCTTGTCACTGTCAGGACCGTACTTCAAGATGAAAGGGGACAGGCGCGCACTCAACCCGCCTCCAAAATCGTCGCCGCAGTCGACGTAGCGGGTCTCCAGGTGAGACATGGTTCTCCTGATCTGCGCATGGACACCTGCGATGTCAAGCTATGAGAGGGCGACAGAAATAACACAGAGGGACACAAGGAAAGTGAGCCGGGGGGGTGATTTATCAAACAATATGTGTTGTGCTTAAGCTCCCACAATATAAAGGCATTGACATACACGCAAAGAAGTCACGCATACAAGAACTAGACATCATGAGAAGTGCAGCACACGCTGAAAGGACTTGTTGCTCACCTCTCGCTGTTGGAAGGACTTGTTCAAGATGTTCAGCTGCTCGAGCACATCTGCAAGGAAGAACAACAAGAAATGGAACCTGTAGCTGGTGGCGAGCTGGTACAGAGTTTCGTCCCACTCAGACAGCATGACGATGAGCGCAGGGAAGACCGCCACCGTTCGCAGAACGGCATCACCCCTGGAGAGCCAGCGGACTTGATGAATGCCTTGAAGCTCTAGATTCGTAGCCGTGAAGAGTTCCTGCAACTCCAAAAATCGTTGGTGCCAGGGGCTGGAACGGCCGAGATACTCAGCGACTTGACGGATCAGCCCGTCCACCATGTCGAACTCAGGGATTGCATCCGCTGCATCTTTTGCCGCGAGGGCCTCCCTGCAGGCACATCACAACACAAACATGCAACACGGGGTATCAGCAAGGCCGAGATACGGATAATCAGGATTCCCGCTAGAACAAAAGCGAACGTACCTGTGGGCTATGCAGTGGCTTGAGACGAGATGCGGTATGCGGAGGCGCAGTCGAGCGACAAGACCATTCTTGCTTCCCATCATCACACTCGCGCCATCGGTGCTCATACCAGAGATCTTGGCAAGCTCGATGCCGAGGGCCTGCAGGTGGGACACAAACACGTAGAGTAGAGAGGCAGCGTCGCACTTCTCCACGGTCAGAAGGGCAAGGAACTCGGTGACGACGCGATTCTCCCGGATGAAGGTCGCGAATATGATCATGTGCTTTCCCCGGCACCGGTCCGTGCTCTCGTCACATGTAATTCCGATGTAAGGACTTGTAAGGAGGTGCTGGAGTTGCGTTGTGTGCAACCACGTGACAATCGCTTGTGTTAGTTGCCCAAAGCCGTACCTGTGGAGCATGTGAGCCAATGTTAGTGCTTACACAAAAGGTAAACAAAAGCAACATCACGAACAATATCTGACAGCGGGTACTCACGTTGTGTAATAGGTTCCGTATCCCTTCGCGGGGAATCCCGGAACCTTCTTCGCCGCGAGATAGCGAACAAGATTCACCCATAACTCAATGGGTGCATCTTGCTTGGTTACGAAGAGCAGAGAGTCGCACAGCGCGATGACGCGTTCCTTCTCGGTGTCGCGAGCGAGGTTGTCACCATTGATCCGTGGCTGCCGGCCAGCTTCAGCAAGAAGCTTTTCCTGGTGCTTGACCGCCTCTTTGTGCTTCGTTGTTGCAGCATGCCTCTTGAAAGCCTGTGTCTGTACGTCCGATGCGCCCCTCCCGCCCTTCCCGCACTTTCCAGCGTAACCTGCATGCTCGGTACAGATAGAGCACTTGAAAGCTGGGAGACCGTCAGATTGCCGCAAAAGAATGAGCCACGAAAACCTGTCTAGCCACTCGGTCTTGTACTTATACAGACACTCAGCGTAAATCTCGTCGTGTCGTGACTGCTTAGAAGGACCAGGAACCGATGGCGACTCCTGTGGGCCGGCAATCACGGGCGACGACCGTTGGTCGGCTGGCGACGGCGGGGTAGCTCCGTCGTCAGCGCCCTTTGTAAACCATGGCAGCCTTGACTGCATGTATCGGCTGAATTTCTTGGTCACGGGTTCGGGAGCCAGTTTTTCAGCTGGAGGCGGCGAGCTGTCCTGCTCCGTGACTGGCGCTGTCGGGGATGCACACCAACCCTCCTCATCGATGTGTTCGAACGGGATTTTGTCGGGCGGCTCGGGATCTGGTGGCTTCTCGTTGTCGTTGACTTCCGCTATGCTCGAAAACAATAAATCGAGGCCCGTAACTGCTTCAGAACGGACTACAGGCGGCTGGCGATGCGCCTGACCGCCGTGTTCGCCGTTTGTTTCCGCGCCGTTAAGGTGTTCCACCATGATAAGCAGCGGGTACAGCCTGACATCTAAGCTAGCAACAATGAGAGGGATTGTTTCCAGAAAAAGCACAGGCCACGGCTGGCTGCCTCTTGGTGGTACACTAGGAAGAAAGGGGGAAACCCAGCTTCGGATGCAAAGCTTGGAGAAGAAGGGGCCCTTGGATGGCAACCACGGTGCATGGGCTGGGTTGTCAACGGGGCAGGAACGTTGGCAGCCCTCCAGCACCACATGGTGGCCACTGGCCACGTTCGGATTGGCCAAGAAAAGATGCTGCAGCAAAACGGCCCAATGATGTGTGGCGCCGCGCCAACAAAGCACCGCTCAATCGTGAATTCGAGGCAAAATTTCACAGGTTCGTCTCGCCCCGCGGTGCCTTCACCACGGGAATCTGAGATTCCCTGTAATTGCGGTCAAATCCACACGACACAGGTAAGAATCGCTTTCAGTGTTAGTTTCGTTTCAACGTTGTGGCATCAATGTACTTGGAAAAAAAAAACTGAAATTTCAGTGTGGCCTCACAAAAAAGGCTGAAAGATCAGTCCCACAAAAATCTTAACACTGGTTTTTCAGGGTAGGTTGAGAATGGACTACCAAAATCAGGAATTTCAGGGTTTTTTTCCTGATATATGAGGCCCTGACCCGGACATACCACCCGCCGAAATTGTAGACCCCCCGGGTGGCTTGAGCGGGGTGGGTGTTATAGTTGACCCCGTTTGTACTATACCCCCCCTTTTGGGGTGATTTTTTATAACACCCCCTTTTTTACACAGAATGCCTTATTTTAGGTGTTAACGAGTATGTGCAATGACGGGGGGACATCGCGACGATCACTTTCTGCACGAAATTACATGGTAATTTCGAAAGTATCTGCTGGGGTCACCTCCGTCCCACTTTTTCACTGTTGCCACGCTGTTAGTTCTTTCGCTATCAAGTGGCCAAAGAGGTGCCACCTCGCAACTTCAAGGAGGAATCAATGTTGTCGTCGAAACTGACAATCTCGCTTCCAACCAGGCCCCCAGAAGTCAGACTTTTTTGTCTGATTTGCTTGTTTTAGTCTGAGATTTCAGACTTTTTTTAGGGTGTACTCTGTAAAATTCAGAGTTTTTATTGTCTCAACTCTGTGAAAATCAGATTTTTCTCTAGGCCGACTTTGCAGTTTCAGAGTTTTCCGGGAGTGTACTCTGATGAATTCAGAGTACAAACGAGTTCCGACTCTGAATAAATCTACCTGCGCGCCGACACCCAGGATTAGTTGTGGTACATACATTGTACCTGTACCGCTGCCCTGCGGCCCGATGTTTCCCTCGTACAGCTGGA